GGCATCTGGTTCTTGATGTGCCAGCGTCGACACACCTTCAGAGAACTTAGGACCTGAGCCTCAACAAGCCTAATCCTCCAAATACACAGGGTAGGGTGATGTCAGGAGTCAGGGCATTGACTGGTAAGATGACTTCATTGTGTTTAGGCAGGCTGCAGGGCATTCCAGACAATGGCACAGCAGGGGACAGCACAGGGAGGCAACAGAGTGTACCCCGCAATGGCCCAGGTACTGACTGCAACACAGGCCACCAGGCTGGGAAGAGTCAGGTGGTATGAGAGTTGGTGAGGGGCGGAACATACAAAGCCAGAGAAAGTGTGCAAAGTCCAGAAATGGCATCAGCAATTTATTGGTACGTGTGTGTTGGATGGAAGGTGACTGAAGGCTCAAGAGGCATAAAAACGACCTTTCACTTATGTTAAACTGACATGCCAAGTCTTACTGTAGTTCGTCTTAAATGCAATATTAATAAATTTATTAAATCCATGGCTTTAACATTTGAAATTTATTTTGACGTCTGTTCAACAAAACAAAACTACATTGGGATGACATTTACGGAAGCTCAGAAAAACATTATGTACTGAGAAATACTTATCATTAGACCACAATGAGCTTTAAAAAAATAAAGTTTACAGTTAAGTTACAAAAAGCTGAAAATATAAAACATTGTGAAACAGCAGCCATCTATTGACTGAGAAAACAAGAAGAGAAACAATTTCAATCATCAATCATGTATCAAAGATGCAGTCTGGTGAATTACAGGAATGTCTATCAGAAGGTGAAGGGCTGGCTTACTGGCAGTTTGATCTACTATACATCTCAGACCCAAACCCTTCACAGAGGAGACTAAATTCACATGTGACTTGTGAAACTAGCTGAGTTAAATCACTGTTGTATCAAATTCAACCTCAAAATCTCTCCCCAGGACTCTTGCTCAAGCAAGTCATGACAAACGCAACCTCACTAACAAGAGTTTTCAGAAATGGCCTGCAGAAGCTCAGGGCCTGGTGCCTCACACAGCCTCCTCCACGCTGCAATGCTGTAGTTCTCGTCACGCCCACAGCATCTGGCATCAGGTTACCCTGTACAGTCAAGGACCACATAAATCGCCAGCAGGGAAATTCCAGAGGTTTAGGATTCTATCAGCACATGTGTCACTGGAAGCCATCATGGGGGGACTATATCAGAGCTTATGTAACTAGCTGTCAGGTCTTTCCCTGTTGCCTTAGCCTTTCTACATAGAGACTGGCCTTCAACTTGCCCTGAGCCCAGAAGTGGACTCTTTCAGCAATTCTACTCAGGAATCTGCAGCAGGAAAACAAGTTCCTCTATTAACATCTATGACTGAAGCACAGATTTCTCGAACAGAAATCAAACTTCAACCAAAAGCTGGGCTTAGGAAGGGAGGCCCTTAGCTGACTGTAGGAGGTAGCTCTTATGACTCCACATGCTCCCTACACACCCCTAGCTTGAGCAATGCCTCAGCCAGCTCACCCTCATCCACACAATTTCTAGGAAACATACTTCAAATATTCTATCCTTGAAAAGACCACCATGCAGAAAATAAGTTTTCCCTTGATGTGCAGTATTTTCTTTAGTGCAATTTCTAAAGAGAAACTTAAATCCTGTTGTATTCTTTCAACACACAAAAAATGATACTTCTCAGAGGCTCAAAAGCCCAGCTCTGTGGACTGACAAAATGTATGCATCAACTGCCAACCCTCTTGGTTTCTGAAACCAACCTTTCTTCCTGCTCTCCTCTTTAAGAGCAAAACCCAACATGTATTAGGTCACAGCAAGTGGTGGCTGGGAAAAGCTGTGGGACCCCTCATTTGAGTCACAGCCATATGGCATGGAGAAAGAAAACATCTCTGCCAGAAGGAACTGAACTCTGGAAGTTCTAAGGAATGTCACCATGCTCAGCAGATAGGAAAGCACTGCCAAGGGCTGTCCCTCAAGAGCTTAGTTTTCTTGGGGAGATCAGAAAGACATCAGATCCTGACTGCCCTGTTTTGCTGAAGTTCCAAAATGAGTGGCCTGATGAAGAGCTAGTGAAACTGAGGGAAAGAGTCGACCACGTGGGGTGGGGTAGTGAGGAAGATATACCAGGAAATGAGCTGGGCCCTGAAGAAACAGGCAGATTGGGGACGGCAGGAGAAGGAAGAGAAGGGAGAGAAACCTCACCAAAGAACCATGGAAGCCAGGAAGTGGAGGGCACAGCCAGAATAAAGGCACAGATGGGCACCCCACAGGAGGGGCTTTGGCCAGGTTGGGATGCAGAAAAAGGCAGGAGTGTTGTCAGTCTACAGCATCCTGAACCCCAAATGGTCTGTAACTGGATTCTCTAAGCCTTGAGAATTGGAGACCAAAGCTTCAGACCAGGGCAAATAGATTGGAAAGATCAGTCTTTCCAAGATTGAGCTTCTTTCTAAGAAGCTGGATAGGAAACCCAATTAATGTGGATCTGAAAAAACAAATTTCAAGAGAGAAGCAGAATGAGTTGGGGGTGTGCAACAAGAGAAGCAAGGAAAATGGAAAGATGATAACTAAGGATCTTTTTAAAAGAAAAATGGGTAAGACTTTGGTGATGAGAGAGAAAAAGGGCAAAAGTCTGCAGTTAGGAATTCAGGTGACTGAAGATAGTGGACAGTTGGGAGGGGCAGGCTGATGGGTAGAAGAGAAAAATTCCATTCAGTGACAACCAAGCTGAACTATTCGACACCAGCAGGACTGGGTTCTTTAGGAACTAAGCCACGACAAAGACTTGGGAATCACTCACTCTGAGGATGAAGGTGAATGGCTGAGCAGACAAAGGTATACAGAGGCCTGGCTTTGAGGGCCTCTTCCCCACCAGCACAAGATAAGGCAAAGGACCATTTGTCAGAGACATCAAGAAGGGAATTTCCATCTGGATGGTCAATAGTGTCCAGTTCTATCAAGGACAGGATTAAGTTTTGAGAAAAAGCCATGGATTTGGTGATCTGATAACTGGTAACCTTTAGCAAAGCATAGTTGAGAGACAGAGACCAAAGTGAGTTGGTAAAAGTTAGGAAGAGAAATGAATGGCAACTTCAGGGAAGCAACTTACTGGAGAAGTTGAGCAGCAGGATGAATAACAAATAGCACAGACGGGAACAGAAAAATCTGGGTGCCCATGAAGGTGGAAGGAAAGGAGCTGGTATAGATGGGTACAACCAGAAAACATGAGGAGGGGAAAGGCAGGGAAAAGGGAGGCAGGCAGGGAGAGGGTCGTCTTAGGGGACGCTAGAGGAGCCTTAAAGAAGACTCTTCAGGTTGGTGCAAAGACTGACACATCAGTACAGAGAATGATCCAAGAAGGGTAGGTGTTCATTCCTTACCTCCATAAAGTAGGCTACCTGTCTAGAATGAAAATGCCAACTCAAAGCTATGGGCTGTTTTATGCAAGGTGGAAGATAATATAAGAAGCATGGTCCTCTCTTCAGACTGCCTTGACAGCACAGAATTAATCTTATTTCTCCCACCTCCCAAGTTATTTGTATTTCCGTGAGATCAGCTCTGAAACAACTCTCTTTAGGCTCTCTACAGTGTGGTAGAGCATGACTAGAAGAGATTAACCTTCAAACAATAGCATGGTCCAAGACACTACACTCACTTATCCCAGGGGAACCCACGGAATTTCTTAAATTGTAGTAACTCCTGACATGGCACGGAAGGAGAATTTTTAACAATTACTCTTGGCATCTTAGAGGAAAGGACCATTAAATACACTGAGGTAAAATGGGCAGAGAGTGTGGTTAGTTTCTATTAATAAAGTAAGTCTATTTTGTCTGTTTTAGGCAACAAAGGCAAAATGGAGTTTTGGGAAATGTGGAAAATGTATCTCATAAAAGCCCTTTGGAAAAACTGCAGACCAAAACCAAAACCCTCCTTCATGTTTTCTCACATGAAACATGAACTTGCCCTATTTCAAAAAGTTCCTATTGAGTATGATTGCGTGAAAGATCACACTATTTCAAATCATATTTATTTTAAAAATCTGTGATGGGACAGTGGTCTCACTGCCAGGAAGCCCAAGTTCTGTTTTATGCTCGGTACAACCAAGTAGAAGTTGACTCAATTTGTCTCAAGCTACATAAAATAATCAGAAAGCCAAGAAGAACTCATGCTAGACTGGTTAGACTTGTACACACAAAAAAAGCACTTTTTTAAACCTGCTGTTTCCATTCACTGCTGAAGTCTTTGAAGAAAATTAGGTGTTCAAAGTAGCCCTTTGCCTATTGGCATTTCCCCATCTTCTGTGTCTTTTGTAGGCATATCCCCCTAAAGTAAGAGGCCTTAGTAGAAAATCACATCTACCTGCAGTTTTCCCCTAGGTCTGCAGACACAGTGGAAAGTATAACGCCACAGTCGAGGGCCAGCTTTCCTACAGAGCCCAGGCCCCAGGGAGGGCGGCCAAAAGCTCAACCTGCCTAGGCTGGGATCTCCCTTTGGTCATAGCTGTGTTTCCACATGCCCCTCCACTCACACTCAGAGGAGGAACGGATGGAAGCCACCAGCACAAATAAAGGGAACACAGGAGAACAATGTCACCAAAGTGCAGGTGCAAACCGCA